TACTACAGTAGCCAGAGAATTATTTATCCTACTAGGTTTCTGGTATAAAGGCAGCTTTCATACAGTGTTGCAACAGCAGTATTTAAAAAAAAAAATTATACAAAACATCACTCTGCTGTTAACACACACTTGGTTCCTTAATTTGGGGAATACCTGCATTCTTTATTTAACTCCATGAGTAAACTATCAGTTTTGGTCCCTGGAATACTTTAAATCCACCTGTCTGTCCTCACTGAACCTCCTGCTGGCTTAGTAGGCAAAGACCTTCTAGTACTCAGTAAAGGCTCTTAAACTTACAGGGTTTTTCTTTACCTAGCAAATGCTTCTAGATATGTCCTATTAGCTGCTACAGATTACGTGGAACGGTGGTCCCTTCCAGATTTCAGTATAGCTGTTTAAATCCCAGAGTCACCTGGCAATGTATTTATGCTTGGTGTTCCGCTTCTGCAGAATGTTGTCAAAGTACACCAAAACATAGTTTCAGGGTTTCTTTGAACTCTCTGCTTACACCCTTAAAGTATACCTTAGCAAACACAGCCTGGAGTTCCAGCCTACCAAAAAGCGGGTTAACTAGCCTGCTGCTCTTTAGAAACTAAAGGCTGAGTATTTGTATGTGTGCAGAACTTGGTGAGATGCCTTGGATTGGATCTGCTTCTACAGGCCTCTACATCTTTTGTCCTGTAGTCAGTAAACGATACTTTGGCTTCTGCATTTGCCTCTTTCCTACCAACACTCTTACTCAATGTTAACTGTAACTGCCTTAATGTAGTCATTTGCTGGGGGAGATTTAAAATAGTAATCATGAGAGCGTACTGACCAAGCTGCTACCTTCAAGAAGCAAAACTACAGGCTGCCCTTTAGCTCTCATTGAGATTGGAGGTGGGTGTTCTCACTCTGCCTGCTTGGTTCCAAGATCAAAGGCAACCTCTAAGTATAAGTTATAAATTTCATAGCTCTTGAGCAGAGTCCACTAAACTCATTTTCTCTTTACCATATAATCAGCTTAAATCCATATTAACTGAAAAAGAAGTTGGCTCCTCATTCCATTCTTCTTTCATTCCCTTGAAGTTTGATCTTATACTTTGTGTATCACATGATAGTCTTTTACCCTAGCCAGCATCTGGTAGCTCCTCTTGATCAACCTCTGCAAAACCAAAATACTTTTGCTCTTGACTGAAAAATAATGCGTGGGAATGGGAATGAGATGACGTTTGACAAAAAATACCCGGGACGACTACCCTAAGGTTGTATTAGCTCCAGATAAAAGGGTCTCTGCTTTACATGTGCTATGGAGTCTTTAAGTGCTCCATGAAAGATCGTTTTATCACTTAACCAGACTCTAGACATCGTTTATATTCCACTTGCTTACTGCAATTCTCACAATTCTTTATAGAACTCTGCCACTATATGCCGGAAAGTGTCCTGTCCTCTCATGCCTTGTTCCAATGCCACTGTGCCTGATGGGGAGTGCTGCCCCCGATGCTGGCGTAAGTACTCAATCCCTTCACACTTCTATAGCTGTTGGCTTCATCTAGCTAGCCACATGCTGCTCTAAAGTATACCGCAATGGGACATAACCTTGCACCACTGGAGTAAGGTTAGCCTGATGCCTCTTTGAGGTTAATCACTTAGGTGATGCATGTGAGCACTGAAACATTTGAGTTCATGGGCTTTATCTCGGTCAGGAAAGGAAGATGCATATGGCACTTGAGGACAGTTTTGTCCTCTTTTGTGGAGTGAGGGGCAGGAGAAAAGACTGTGGAAAAACACATACCTGGAGTCTTATTCCGAGCTGTAACAAGCTGTATCCCTCTGCAGCTAGCGACTATGCAGATGATGGATGGTCTCCTTGGTCTGAATGGACTTCGTGTTCTGTGACCTGTGGGAATGGGATTCAGCAGAGAGGGCGATCCTGTGACAGCCTCAATAACCGCTGTGAAGGGTCTTCTGTACAGACTCGGACTTGCCACCTTCAGGAGTGCGATAAGAGATGTAAGTACTTAATTTTCTCACACTGGTAATAAAACACAGAGTGCTTTTATTTGCCTAATGTTAACAGCAAAGATTACCATGTAACTCTGTCACTGGGATGGATCGTTGGCATCTAGCATTAAGGACTTATGTTAATCAGGTAAATGGGAGCAGGTAATTAACTTACTGCAGATAGTTAATGCAGTAAGTAGGCATGTTTGGGCACTTGCTCCCAGGACAAAATGTGAGGCCAGTTTAGGTATGCAATTTCTCCAGTGACAAAACCACTGCAATATATATCGAGTATTTGGTACAGTTCTGGTACTGGCTATGTCCCAGGTGCTGTGCAGCTAAGTCTGTTGCTCAGAAACTCTAATTAACAGATATCTCTCTCTTGTAGTTAAGCAAGATGGTGGCTGGAGTCACTGGTCACCATGGTCATCATGTTCTGTCACCTGTGGCACGGGCATCATCACTAGAATTCGTCTCTGCAACTCACCGGTACCACAACTGAATGGCAAACCTTGTGAGGGTGAGGCAAGAGAAAACAAATCCTGCCAGAAAGATCCATGCCCAAGTAAGTGCGTCCAGGTGGTAACTACTGTCCGGTAGCTTAAACGGTGACCTTCCTGAGTAGTTGCTATATAATCTAGTTCTAGTAATCTTCTGTCTTTAAACTTAGAGGTGAGCTAGGTAAAACCTCACAGGTTAGTTTCGGATTAAACTGGTTAGATGAAACTAACCTGTTTTCTATGACTTTCCTGGAGTCCACGTGTAGTTCAAACATAAGTGACAGAACTCATGAAGTGCTCTCACTACGTAAGCAAGAATCCTTAGTCAGGTAGAAGGTAGTTGTACCCACTGAATTTAAAGCTATACGTGTCTTGTAACTTTTATCTCCCTTTAGTTAATGGCAACTGGGGACCGTGGTCGCCATGGGATGCTTGCACAGTGACATGTGGTGGAGGACTTCAGAAACGTAGCCGTCTCTGCAATAACCCTGAGCCTCAGTATGGTGGGAAGACTTGCGTAGGTGAAGCTAGAGGGACTCAGGTCTGCAACAAACAGGACTGTCCAATTGGTGAGTATTAACTCACTTCCATTTTCCCATGAACATCTGAATGTTGTGGACAATATTGAATATACTGATTAAAAAAATTGACCTAAGTCCGTAAAACAAGTGCTAGAATCTTAAACCAGCGTATCTGCCGAATACAATACTGTAGCAGCATGGTAAGTGCCCTCATCTTAACACTTCCTCATCTGTTTCCCAGATGGGTGTCTGTCTAATCCCTGCTTTGCCGGGACTACGTGTACCAGCTCTCCTGATGGCTCCTGGAAGTGTGGTGCCTGTCCTGCTGGCTACCATGGTGATGGTGTCCACTGCCAAGATATTGATGAGGTAAGAAGACTAGAGTCTGCCCTTTGAAAGAGAGAGAAAGAAAATGGGAAAGGAGAATAAAACCCCAGTGTCTTATGTTGTTGTTCTCCTTCTCAAACTCGTATTTCAGTGCAAAGAGGTTCCTGATGCCTGCTTTGTCTTCAACGGAGTGCACAGGTGTGAGAATACTGAACCTGGGTACAACTGTCTGCCTTGTCCACCACGTTTCACTGGGACACAGCCATTTGGTCGCAGTGTTGAAGATGCTATGGCTAACAAGCAGGTATTGTCAACTTGAGACCTGTTATGGGTTATGGAATGTCAAAGTTTCTAAACAAAAGAAAGCACCTTGTCAGTTCCGGGAAGAAGGACGTGCTACATTTATTGAAACGCCATCCTCTGATTCAGAACAGGAGGATCATGAATCAGTTTATATTGGAGTTCAAAATGAGTTTTAAAATTCACTGTTCTCCTCAGCCACAAGAGGCTTCAGATATTACACATAATTTTAGGAGAGTAATCCAATCGGTATTCACTTATGATCCAACAACGTATGCCTTAGAGATATTTTAGTCCTTGGTTCCATTTGAAAATAAGTAAGGTTTGAATTATAAAAAAAAAAAACAAAACCACAATTAGCGCTAAGATGGCTGCTGGAGTTGAAGAGTGGAAGAAAGCAATGTATGAGGCTTTTCCTGTTTTCTGATCAAAACAAGCATGTATGCTCTGTGTTTTATTTGAATCTCTGAAGGAAAAATGAGGAATAAAAAGATGTTTCCAGTGGATTTCATTCCTGTGTGGTCTTCTAGGTCTGCAAGCCACGTAATCCATGCACAGATGGAACACATGACTGCAACAAGAATGCCAAATGCAATTACCTTGGCCACTTCAGTGACCCCATGTATCGCTGTGAATGTAAACCAGGCTATGCTGGTAATGGCATAATCTGTGGAGAAGATACTGACTTGGATGGATGGCCAAATGAGAACCTTGTTTGTGTTGCCAATGCCACTTACCACTGTAAAAAAGTAAGTTCATCCCATTTCCCCACCTACCATTGTAACAACCTGTCTATCTGAGAAATACACAACATATGTTAGATCTGAGGTATAAATCAAATCTCTGTCTGGTTGGAGATACTAAACTGTCCTCTCTGCAAACAAAACTGGCAAAACACCCTTCTGGGTAAGGATACCATGGTCAAGGTATTGCTAGGAGGCTCTTGCTGTTGCTTTCAATATTCCTGCAGTATGGGAAAAAATGAAGGCTGACACAATTATAAATGTTTGTTATAAATGTTCTAGTAAGAGTCTAGTGTAGGCTATATCTGTATGTCAGAGCAAAGTTGATATACCTGTCTCTAGGGGTAGAAAAAGAGAGTAAGATTATCAAAAGCAGCCAAATCTTTGTTTTAAAAATTGTTTGAACTATGGCTTTGTAAGACTTATCCTCACAGTAATGACTCTGAGAGAACTGAGTAATGACATTGAGAGAATAAGATAACACCTACCTGATTAGGCAAACTGATAAATATATCAGTGTTTAGATCTTACCTGCTGAAATCCCTATTGTGTTTACCCCTGGCACAATTACATCTGTGTACTTTCTCCTTTCCAGGATAACTGCCCTAATCTGCCCAACTCTGGTCAGGAAGACTATGATAAGGATGGGATTGGGGATGCCTGTGACAATGACGACGATGATGATGGCATTCAAAAAAAAGGGGAAGACCACAAAAAGAACAGCCGTGGAGAATGTAGCTCTCCCATTCCTTTTCCTAAGGCTGGGGTCTAGCTTCTGACCTTAACATAGGACACTGCTGTCAGTGACAGCAATCCCCAAAACCTTTAGATATGCATAACTATGCAGACAAACGTTCTGCAGCTGGTTGAGCTTTGGAAGTGAATCTTCACTTTCATTCAGCCATTCCTACATTCTTGCAAGTAACGGGGTGTTTTGAGGTAGAAGCATTCCAGTTTTAACGGTTTCCCTGCCTTTCATTTCTCCTTTTATATAGCAGTACAAGCATAAGCAGAATCTGGTTAGAGCTTTAATTCGTCTGTTTTTAAAGCTTGACTTCCTTCTTGCTCTTGCAGGACAACTGTCCATTCATCTACAACCCACAGCAGTATGACTATGACAGGGATGAAGTTGGTGACCGCTGTGATAACTGCCCCTACAATCACAACCCTGATCAAACGGACACGGACAACAACGGAGAAGGAGATGCGTGTGCAGTGGATATTGATGGAGATGGTAAGTGGCCTCTAATCGCTCCTTCAGACAGTTTTCTAATCACAGATTGATCTGATGTACCACTGATTTTCCTGCCAGAATTTTGTCACTAAACACACACAAGTTGTCCTCAGGTGGTTTTGGGACATACAGACTACTGAAGTAATGGTTACAGCTAATGGAAATTTGCTTCGAAATACACACATTTTGGCACAGTTAAATTGTAGCTCTACTCTTGCAGGCAGTAGGAATAGAAGTGTGTGGCAGAGCTCGTGATGAATCAAGTTTCAAAGCTTTCAAATGCTGCTCAAAATGCTTTCAGAAATAAATCAGGAAGTGCATGGTGGCTTTGTACAGTCCTCTGCAGCGTTTAGAAGTCTGACTTATGTTGATGAACTCTCCTTAATTTTGCAGGGGTCCTTAATGAACAGGACAACTGCCAGTATGTCTACAATGTAGACCAGAGGGACACGGACTTGGATGGTGTTGGAGATCAGTGTGATAACTGTCCGCTGGAACACAATCCTGACCAGGTAGGGGATTTGCATTATATAAATAGAAGACTAGTATTTTAAAAACATAGTGTGTTGTACATGGTATTTGCATATCAAGTTACAGCTTAAATTTGACTTGTCACAAATAATGCTTATTAATTTGCCAAATGGTGCCTTTATCAAATAACATGCTCTCACGGTTCAAACAGCAGCTAGGTATCTTCTGAAAAGTAACTCTAGTGAAGATGTGAGACTACTGCAAGTGCTCATCTCCTAAACATTTCCAGGGTCTGTCAGTTGTGGTGATCCTCATAGCGAGGGCATGAAATTACTGGGAGCACTGTGTGAAACCTAAGTGGGGGGGAACTACCCTCTTCCTAGCCTGTAGTGCTGGGTTCACTTACACACAAAGTGGCTCTCTACTATTAGTCCTTTAGTTGAAAACAGCTGCATTTCAAAAGATAACTCTTCTACCAGTAAGTTGAAGGCAGCACAGGTTGCTTTCCTCCAAGGAATAGGCATATTTTGACACCTTTTAAATTCCCCTTCATAAAAAAAAAATATCTAGGGGGATCCAGCCTCTCACACAACTTACGGTTCAAAGACGTTTGAAGGCATAAGGAGATGATAAAGCCTGTGCCATCCTGTCAAGCACAAGGCTGTAAGTTTAATAGCTTCAGGGACGTCACTCTTCAAACATTCCAGATAGAAAAGCTGTTGCAAATCAGTGGAATCTAGTGTAGTATGGTTGTGTAGGCCAAAAGCAGTGTTGCTTGAAGATTTTAAACAGATAATGCAAAATTTCTTAGCTTTTGTAGGCTTGCTTTATTACCTCCCCACCTGAGGGTGGAAAGGGCCTGAAGATCCTTTTGGTCAATGTTTCTCTTAATGCTTTGAAAACTTAATGAGACTCTTAACGGCCTTTCAAACACTCTGCTAATCAAGTTCTAGAAGTGGGGGTACTGGGTTTCAAACAGCAGAATTAACAGCTGCCAAACTGTGTGGCATGCCTTCCGCCTACACCAACACCAGGGTCCTCCACCGCTGCCGACAGGATGACTAGGCTAAACCTTGAGGCACTCTCGGGGATGACCAGATTGTTTTTCTGAATTCGGAAGCTGACTAAGCATGTGACGAGCTAAAATAGGTGATCAGCAAGCATAGCACTTCGTCCAGTCTTTGACCACTGAGGGGAATATTGTCTTGACTGATGAGTCAGGGACATGAAGAGCATTATAGGCTTTTACGATAACAAACACTACAATATGGTGTGGAAGATCTAAAACATAGTCTGACAAGTCTTGGTTCCAGTGTTACAGCCTCTACTGGCTAGGTACGGAGTAGTCCTACCCTTATCTGTCCCTTCGAACCAGAGGGCTGTCAGAGGAGGCAGGAGGTGAAGTACCCTGTGTCCAGTACGGTAGGCTAGTAACAGAAGAGTCAGGTGGCAGAAAGGAGAAAAGAAGCTTATAACCACACTGCTTTCTACTTCTGTGGATTCAAGTTAATACCAGGGAAACACTCAAGCAGCCCAAAGCTCCTATTTCAGCATTTTTTTAAGTGGCTGTTAAAAATGTTCTTGGTTTTTCTTCCCCTTTCTTTAGGAAGACACAGATTCTGACCGCATAGGTGATGAGTGTGACAACAACCAGGACATAGATGAAGACGGCCATCAAAATAATCTTGATAACTGCCCCTATGTGCCCAATGCCAATCAAGCTGACCATGACAAGGATGGGAAAGGCGATGCCTGTGACCATGATGATGACAATGACGGTATCCCTGACGACAAAGACAACTGCAGATTGGTTGCCAACCCTGACCAAGCAGATTCCGATGGTAAGATGGCCAGTATCGTTGTAGTATTTTAAGAGTATCTTCCCATAGTTTGATACTATGTTTTCCCATACTGGACAAAACTTCCAAGTAACAAAAAGATAGAATGTCTGTACTGTTGTTAGTGCTACTCTGGAGAAAGAAGCAACGTAAAAAGGACCACATATCCAACTTATTCCTAAGTCACGATCAGGTTGGAGTGAAAGGGCACTTACACGGTAGCTGTTGTGGCTTCTGCAGTGTTTCTGCCAGCAATACCTGGGCAGTCAGAAATCTGCAATTGAGATTTCAACTCCAAGTTGTAAAACTTGAAAGCAAATAACAACGGTGATAAAATGATATTATTTGTGTCCTTCAGGTGATGGACGTGGAGATGCTTGCAAAGATGACTTTGACCAAGACAGTGTGCCAGACATTGATGATATCTGCCCTGAAAATGTGGACATTAGTGAAACTGATTTCCGAAGATTTCAGATGATTCCTCTGGATCCCAAAGGAACATCCCAAAATGATCCAAACTGGGTTGTTCGTCACCAGGGTAAAGAACTGGTTCAGACAGTCAACTGTGACCCTGGCCTTGCAGTCGGTAAGCAGAAAGGTTTAACAGGCATTGCACTATTGTGTGGGGTTCTTTTGGTTATGGGGGTGGGGGAGGAGGAGGAGAACCTAACAAACTCTTAAACAGTTGTTCAAGAATCGCAAAAGAGCAGCACCTAAAACTTTCTCCTTTAATGCCCTGTAGGTTTTGATGAATTCAACGCTGTGGACTTCAGTGGCACCTTCTTCATCAATACAGAAAGGGATGATGATTATGCTGGCTTTGTATTTGGCTATCAGTCTAGCAGTCGCTTCTATGTCGTCATGTGGAAGCAGATCACCCAGTCTTACTGGGACTCCACACCAACCAAAGCTCAAGGCTACTCAGGTCTGTCCATTAAAGTTGTGAACTCCACCACCGGTCCAGGAGAACACCTTCGTAATGCTCTGTGGCACACAGGAAACACTCCTGGCCAGGTAAGAGTGGCACTTTGGTAGCCTACTCTTCTGCACTGTAAGGCAAGCTGTTCTTCCAGCGAGTGAGATGCTTTCAGGGGCTCTGTACATGCTGATCAGAATGGCGTAGTCGTCTTGGCAAAGACCAGTAACTCCGTAATTATCCCCAATCATGCAAAACACTGTATAAAATTAACAGGATTGCATGCTGCATACAGGCTTTCCAGCAGCAGTGAATCAGTTTTTGTCTGGATTTGTGGAGTAGTTTCCTATTTGTGTATTTTAAAGTAAACTTAAATGTAGTTGATTTCAGTAAGACCCCGTTACGGACCCTAATGACTTATGCCTTTACTAGTCGTAATGATGATGCTCAAGGCACCTTCGTGTCAAAATAACAGCTACGTTGGCTCAGTCAGGTCTTTGGTTAATAAAAAAAGTATTCTTTGGCAGGTGAGGACTTTGTGGCATGACCCTCGTCACATAGGCTGGAAAGACTTCACTGCATACAGATGGCGTCTCAGCCACAGACCAAAGACTGGCTACATCAGGTGAGCACCACCCTTTTATCGTCACTAGTTATCACAAGGAGAGTGGATGCCTGGAAAGGTGGGCTTAACAGAAGCTTGTCAAAGACGGCTGACCTGTTGTCTCTTTGTAGGGTTGTAATGTATGAAGGGAAGAAAATCATGGCAGACTCAGGACCAATCTATGATAAAACCTATGCTGGTGGGCGGCTAGGATTATTCGTCTTCTCTCAAGAAATGGTGTTCTTCTCAGATCTTAAATATGAATGCAGAGGTAAGGAAGACATTGTATCTAAGACATCCTATATAAATGAATTGGTTCAAGAAAGCTGCTCTCAAGAAAAATAGGATGGGTCAAGAAATAAGAGCTAAGAGGGAAATTTCACCCCTGATCTTTCATGGCTCTATCTCAGGCGAGTTCTGCAGGCAGAAGCAAGTCACCTTCTTGATAGTTTCTTCACAGTTTAAAGTTTATCTGTATAAAATCTAAATATATTCCCGTCCTGTTACTTCAAAGTATCAGAATTCCACACTAAGTTCCAGCTATGAAGTATGACTGCTGACTAGAATGAATGAGCATGAACGCAGCTGACAAAGTCCAAGGTTAACACACAAAATACTGATTTTTAGCAATCAAGAGAGTAGTGTTTGGTATGCAAAGCAGAGGTGTTTAAAAGCCAGCAAAGTAGAAGGTGGTCCACGTGTGGGCACTGATGCTGTTCGGTGGCGGTAAGTGCATTTGACTGGTTTCAGGTGCCCTAGTCATCTTAAATTGTGACTTCATCCTGTAATGTTTACATAGGTACTTTGAGTTAGACTTCAGAACCTAGTCCAAGTACTTCCAGTTTTCTTCACCGACATGTTCTTTACAAATGTCTCTAGGGATTCATGTCTTAGACATAATCATGCAGAATGCACAGAAATATTTAAATATCTTTTTTTTTTCCTCCTTCACAGATCCATAATCACAAGGTTATTGGATCCAGAGACTACTTAAAAATGCTGGTATTGCACCTTCTGAAACGTTTAGCCTTACAAATCCTGGGACCATTATATTATTCCTTCCCTTCTTCTTTCTGCATAAATGTGGACTCGAAACACATGACCTGCCTCAAGAGAATGCTTTTGAGAGAAATGAAAGTGAGAACGTACCTGGTATCTGACCTCTGCTGAAGTGGAAGGAAACAAATGTGTCTTGCAAATGAGAATTGTCTTCACTGAACAAGCACACTTCTTTCAGTAGGAAAGACATCTGTTTGCTGTTTATCACAGTGCAGTGTCACTGCCTCTCTAACTGGAGGTCCCATGGAGTAGCATTTTGTAAAAAGAACATCTTTGGATGTGCTGTGGACTACTTAAACTGAAGACCTTTTCATTGTGTGGGGAAAAGGGTTTCTTGGGTGGGAGGGTGAACCCTTAAGTCTTTTTTTTCTTTATGGGGAAGAATTCTTTTTTTTAATGAGGGCTGTGCTACCCTGGTTTACATCCATTTATCTTGGAAAAATTATTGTTTCAGATGTCATATTTTTCAGATGAAAATACAGCCTTTTAATCTCTTTGTGGTGAGCTAGATCAGCCGCTGCATTACACAGGAAAAAACAGATATCCTAAAACTGATTTTCATGGTGGGAGGGAGAAACAGGATAAAAGCTGGCACACTGGATCACACCAGCTTTGGGAGAACTGGGATTTACAATTTGATTCTGTTTTTTTCCTGACTAGATGCACGTCTTTCTTACCTTTAAATGTTTTCTTTTGGATATGGTGCCAGAAAGCACCGCCATCTCAGCCAGCACTGTGCTGCCCTTTGGGAAATCAGCATGTGCTTCACTTTTTTCATGGTTAAAAAGGCACAAAAATAATAGTGATGAAAGCATTCCTTTTCTACATGCCATAAATGCTTTAAACCCCTTGCTTCTTTGGAGGGGAGGGGAAGGGGCTTGTAGATAAAATACTGAAATTGTACAATATTTATTTTTACTTATCCTTGATGTTATAATGACTGAGGGATTATTGATTTAAAACAACAAGAAATGCGTCAAGACTATCCACCTAATCATTGTTACAAGTCTTCATGACTGTAAGATTGTAAATACAGATTATTTATTAACTCTGTTCTATATTGAAACTAGAGGAATTTTAGTTGAGGGGAGAAAAAATATCTTGTCTGGAGCAGATAATGGTGATGTATTTGTTTACCAGAGCAACTTTCCCGTAAAGGCTTTGAGGTCCAGGGAGAAGTAGCGGGGTGGGGAATGAGATGTTTGTTTTTCTCAGTCTGAGCTCAATGTTGGCTTTTCCTTTTCTTTGTGCAAGGCAGTTGGTAGCCTGGCAGGCGGCTCTTCTGCAGCGCTGAAACTCAAGTCCCCATAGAGTGGCAGTTCCTGTCCCATAGGGCCAGAGACGAGGGGATGCCGTTTGCCACCTGGGCGGTTATTTAGTGCTGGGACATGTCGGCGGTGCCTGGCCGCTGGTCAGTGGGCCTGGTGCTAAACCAGCATCCCGCCCTAAGGAGAGTGTGGAGAGAGGCGGGGAAAAACAGAGCGGCAAAGTGCGCCGCTGCACACCCGTTATTGTGACGCGTGATGTGCAGCCACAAAGGAATTCTTCACCGACTAGGAAGAATTCCAGGAACTCCTTGGGGAAGAGGGGGAGGGCTGGATGTACATTAAAAGATGATTGTTTTCCCCAAAAGAAGGAGTGGCATCCTTACACCTACAATATTTCCTTGTCCTTTCCAAAAAGGAAAAGAAACGAACACAGTGGAAGTTTTACGTACAAATATTACCTCATTGTTGTGTGACTGAGAAAAACCTTTGGATTAAGCAGAGTTCAAATGTCTAACAAACTTTAAAGCTACTGTAGTACTAAAAAGTTAATGCTGTACATAGTCAAGGTTTCTTTGCAGAAAATGTATTCCCAGTAAAGAAATGACATTGGAAAAAAAAAAAGTCAAATACAATTTCTAATGTTGTGTTATATTTTTTTCCTGTCACCTTGTATACCATTGCTTGTATTTTTATAAATTATTTTTCTCATTGCCATTGTAATAGTTAATCACGTAATTGTGTAGATACGCTATTTAAATAATTTATCATGAAATGCTACCTGTAGAGTTAGTATTTCTATTTTTATAAAATGTTTGCACACTGAAGATTTTTTTTTTGCTTCCCTCCTCCCGATGTTTTTGCTAGCATCATTTTCTAAGAACGTGCTTTTTTTTTTTTTTTTGTAAACATTTTTAACCAGTTTCCATTTTAAAGTTGTGTAAGTTGTACAATAAAGCTTCTTACATACAAAGAACAATAAACCAACAAGGACATTCATATTTACACCTTTGTCCTCTAGTTTTAATTGTGTCTTCTAACAGTTGTGGATAACTGTTATGCTGTTATTCGTGTCACGTTAGGCTTCAAAGCCAGGCGTCTCTACGCTCTTTACATTAAAACTATGACAAGGGGATGCTTTCTGTCACCTGAGCTTTCACCCCAGCTATAACCGCTCATCCCCTTGAAGGCAATTCTGCAGTTTGGTAGGTTGGACAGCTGGGGAATTTGATTCTGAAGGATTCACTGAAGACTTCTGTACGCATAGATGCAGCCATGCTGCCCTTGATGCAGCCAGAAGGCAAAACTCTCTCAGGGAGTGCAATCATCCCTAGGCAGGCCTATCCCTTCTTTCGTTCTTTCACGGGAAAAGAGGCAGAGTCATGGCTATCTCTAGTGGTGGATGAGTATCTGTTAGTATCTGCTATAGGCTGAGCCTGCAGGTGTGACCACAAAGCTGACGATGTGGCACTGTCTCAACTGGTGGGACATACCGCTAAAAACAGAAGCCGTTAGGACTAACTGTTTGGTCTTGACTTAAAACAGCAGTTTGTCTCATAAGCCCTTCAGCACAGCCAGGTACGACATGCTAGTGTGTTTAGGAGGTCTGGCAGGTATACAAAATTAATCTTTAAATCTGCTCTTCCTGAGGATGAGGAATCTTGTTTTATGAAGTTTTGTCCTATTTTTCTGTCACTAAATTTTGAGAATAGTCCTGTATGTTCTAAGGAGAACAAGGAGAGAAAAAAATAAAACCAAAGAACTCCCTACCTGTAGCTTCTGAAATATGAGTGGCTGCTGAATTTCCGCCCTGGCCATGTACAGGATTGTCTGCTTCGCTTCCCCAGAGTGAGTAGCGGCAGTCTCTGGTGGGATGGCACTGTCAGTGTAACCTGGCGATTCTTATCTGTGGCACCAAGCGTCCTGCAGCTCTGGTCTCAAACTCCCTTCCTGCCTCCCGGGGCACCAAGAAGAGCGGCAGCTACAGAAGACAAAGTTCCCACCTGGAGAAATCTCTTTACTGTAGTTGCAGGAAGAATGAGATACCCTGTGTTTAGAAAACTGTTCAGTTGTATGAGCAGGTGCATCTATATATGGATATATGTAGGTCTGACCGGAAGTTTAAAAAAGATAACTGCTACCCATTGTGGGGGAGGAGAGTCTTGGCAGCCCATTGCAATGACCTTGTCTGCGCCCAAGCCCATCTGTCACGCTAATTTATTGCGTGTGTTTATGCAGCTTGTACCAGTGTAGTATCTGAATTGGGGATGCTACACGCCTCAGAATAGTCAAGGCATGCCACATGCCGTGTGTTAACCCACAGGGTAAGTCCACCCACGCGTCGCCTGGGGAGTGCGAACACAGTGGGACATAAGACAGAGCTGTAGTTGAGGTAAGTTAGGCCCAAAGAAAGTAACTTTCTTTGGTCCAAGAAGGAAGTTACTTGCCCGAAGGGACAGCCATTGAAAAAAAACTAAACAGGAAGAGCATGGAAAACAGCTACACTTCACAGGGCAAAAAGTCCGTAGGTGAAGCCTGTGGGAACCAGGCTGTTCCCAGCTCCTTGGAGACTCATCAGCGAAACATCCAAGCGTACCAACCAATGCATGCCACTTCCACTGTCACTGGGTACTCGGGCAACCTTTTTTTGCATAAATAATCCTGAGGTTCATGCTATTGCAGAGAGTACAGTGTTTTCTTACCACAGCAGGCTCTTCCCCGAGCACATGCAACTACAGTAGCTGAAGTTTTCAAGGGGTCAGCGGCATGGCCTATGTCCGAGAGATGTAGTCCTTTAACCTGTAGCGACTGATAACCTATGGAGAGAAAGGGGTAACTGTAGCGAGATCTGCATCTTAACGACAGCCGTGCACTTTTTACTGGCATTGTCATGATTTTATAGTGAGCTCTGTAGTATGGTAATTGGCTGATTTCCAACATAAATTTCTTTTGGAAAGGATTGCTGAGATTATAGGAGAGAGCATCTTAATATATATCCATAAGGGGAGTTCTAGCTTTTATTTCTCATCTTTTCTGAGAGAGAGAACAGGTGCACAAAGTTGCATGAATAGTTAAGCAGCATTATGACAAGAGGAAGAGAACTCACTAGAGAAAAGTGCTGGGCAAGCAAAAGCCTTAAAGATAAAAACTTCCACAGAAAATCCATAAAATTAGGCAAATATCACAGACAAAGTTGGATTTTTGAATTCATAGAAATCTCAGGAAGCCCAGCCATCATCTGTCTTTAATTTTTCAACTGCTTTCAAATTCGGGGACTGCTAGCCTAGGCAACACACAGAAGAGCTAAAGCGAGAGCTGCTTAGATGCTGTGTCAGTCTCCCTTGATGATTCCCCTCACAAAATGCGGATGGAGAGACCATTTTAGTGTTATTGTAAAATTAGGGTAGAATGCCTCTGGCAATACCCTTCCCACCAAAACTATGCATACCAAATACACAAAACAAACAATAGGAAAATAGAAGAGTATTTCCACAAGAAAACAGCAAACTTTTAAGTGGGGGAAAAAAAGGGTTCTAAATACAGAATACCAGCCTATAAATCAAAATTATTCATGCGCTTCAGCACTCTAGAAATTAATACACACTTGTGAATATTCCAGTTTGCTGGGGTTTTTTATTAAAGCATAGTAGATGCTTTAGGTGTTGCAGATTCAATTGGAAGCAATGAACTATTTCACATAGACTTAAATGACAAGGAGCCTTTTATTCTAACTACTGCACCTGGATTCCAGCCAATCCCTCAGTGAGACGTATAATTGGATAACTGTAGGTTATAGCATTAGTAGTATTCAAGTGCCTCTATTCTATTTAAAAAGGAAACAGTTTTCCTGACCTTTAAATCTCGCTACAAATAAAAGAGTAATTATTTCTCAATAAATACATCTGTTGAAAAATTAAAAAAAAAGAAATCAGTTATTATTTTTCCTAGACTTCAAAAAACCTTTCTAATTTAATAACTTCCCAAGCATCTGCCAAACGACCTCGTCTTCAGTGTCCACCCTTCAAATTGTGAGATTCCCAGACTTGAGGCTCTTTTTTTTTTTTTTTTTTTTTGTAACTGGAGGAGGAAGCACTCCTGGGTGTGTAAAGAGTGTAGCAAATTTTGCACTTAAAAAGCAATAGAGAAAGACCTCATTGAGGCTAGAAAGCCTTTCTAAGAAGCCTGACAAAGAGAAGAGGTGCATTCTCCTATTATTTGCTGAAATTTTATCAAGAAAATAAGGGTGTTTAATAAAACATAAAAATTCATATCCGTATTGAAATTACAGAAATTGAGCTGCAATTGCAATTGCCTCTCAGCTATCCTTCCCTGATGTGGAGGTAAAATTGCACT